AACATGTTGACTTTTGCTTTTACCCCTTTTTTATTCCTGGATTTCAGAACAATGTGTGCTCAGTACTGCATCTCCTTTGCTGATGTTGAAAAAGCTCATATCAACATTCGAGATTTTATCCACCTCACACCAGTGCTAACAAGCTCCATTTTGAATCAAGTAACAGGGCGCAATCTTTACTTCAAATGTGAACTCTTCCAGAAAACTGGATCTTTTAAGGTAACAATCCCTTTTAATAGTGTGGCATGTATCTTTTCAATCCCTTTTCACATATTAAATTTATTAGATTCTCCTGACTACTCAGTGAGGTAGATAGAATTAGTATCTTCTTATAGCTGAAGAAAGGGTGGTAGTTTTCCTTTGATCAAGTTGAGGTTACTTAGCATCAGGTGTTGACAAGCCACTTTTTTACTGTCCAAACTAGGATATGAGAATGAAAGAGGAAACTTCTAATGATTAAATGGAGACAATAGGCATCACCCTGAACGGTTGCAAGGCAAAATGGGCGAGTGGGATTACTGTATATCCAAGTTTAAGCACTCACTTTGTGTCAGCTTGCTATTGATACCTCATTATGATTATAAAAGATCTAAACCTAGCTAAATCCTCATATCTTTTTTTTTAAATTCTCACCCGAGGATATCTTTTCATTGATTTTTATTTTTATTTTTTTAAATATATTTTATTGATTTTTTACAGAGAGGAAGGGAGAGGGATAGAGAGTTAGAAACATCCATGAGAGAGAAACATCCATCAGCTGCCTCCTGCACACCCCCTACTGGGGATGTGCCAGCAACCAAGGTACATGCTCTTGACTGGAATCGAACCTGGGACTCTCCAGTCCACAGGCCGACGCTCTAGCCACTGAGCTAAACTGGTCAGGGCTCCATTGATTTTTAGAGAGAGTGGAAAGGAGCGGGAGAGACAGAGAGCAACATCGTTGTGAGAGACACACTGATTGGTTGCCTTCTGCAGGTGCCCTGACCGGGGCTGGGGTCAAGCCTGCAACTGAGGTACATGCCCTCGATTGGTATCAAACCCGGGACCCTTCAGCCTGCGGGTCGACGCTCTATCCCTGAGCCAAACCAGCTAGGGCCTCATAAAATCTTTTTCTACAAAGTATGTCAGTGCCTTTTCTATCCAAAAATATAGACTTGTGTGTGTTGATTCATTACCATACTTTTCTGACCATTAGTTGAGCTTTAAGATCCTTCAGGTAAAAATCTGAAAGCTGCATTTAGTGCAGTACCTGATAGGGGTCAGTACCTGTTAAGTGATAGCTTTAAGATTTCAAGAATCTACCTTTTCTCCCACCATTAACTGAGAGCTTTTATACTAAAACAAAAAATTCTCATCCTAGCCGGTTTGGCTCAGTGGATAGAGTGTCAGCCCATGGACTGAAGGGTCCCAGGTTTGATTCTGGTCAAGGGCACATGCCCAGATTGCAGACTCATTCGGTCCCCAGTAGGGGGTGTGCAGGAGGCAGCCTATCAATGATTCTCTCTCATCATTGATGTTTCTATCTCTCTCCTCCCTTCCTCTGAAGTAAATACATATATATATATATATATATATATATATATATATATATATATATATATATAATTTTAAATATATTTTATTGATTTTTTACAGAGAGGAAGGGAGAGAGATAGAGAGTTAGAAACATCGATGAGAGAGAAACATCAATCAGCTGCCTCCTGCACATCTCCTACTGGGGATATGCCCGCAACCCAGGTACATGCCCTTAACTGAATCGAACCTGGGACCCTTCAGTCCGCAGCCCGACGCTCTATCCACTGAGCCAAGCCGGTTTCGGCCAAATATATATTTTTTAAAAGTTCTTTTTCCCTTTGCTTCTGCCAAGGCCTTGCCCTATATCCAACTTGCAGGAGAGGCAGGCTGGTCAACAAATAGGTTGATGAGAAATGTCTTAAGAGAGATATATACGAAGTGCCATGAAAGAAGAGAGAATGAAGTTACTCATTTTGCCTGGGAGATCAAGGAAGTTGAGTCAGATGAGTTTGATCCAAATTTTATAGGATGTGTACTTTTATCCAGATCAGGGAGTGGGGGAAAGAACGACAGGTAGAGATATGGCATGCTCAGAGGTACAGGGGTGTGAGCTAACCTGGTAGGAGGGAAACTAGAAACAGTGTAGGATGGCTACAACAATGATACAGGCGGATTTGTATTTGAAAGGCTGTAACTTATAATTTGTACTTTTTTTTTTTTTTTCACTAAAAAAGGCATTCAGCCCTAGCCAGTTTTGCTCAGTTAATAAAGCATCAACCTGTGGACCTAAGGGTCCCAGGTTTGATTCTTGTCAAAGGCACATACCTCAGTTGCAGGCTCTTCCCCAGCCCGTGCCCCGGTTGGGGCTCGTGCAGGAGACAACCAATCAATGTTTTTCTCTCACATCGATGTTTCTGTCTTTCCCTCTCTCTTCCACTCTCTCTAAAAATCAATGGGAAAATATCAAGTGACGATTAAAAAATAAAATAAAAAGGGAAGTCGAAGAAAAAAATAACACTTGTCTTTAAAAGATCACTTTCATAATCTAGTGGAAATATTAGATGAGAATGATCCTTGAAGCAGGATCACTTGAGGTTTGATAACACACAGGTTGAAAAATGAGGCCTCACCAAGGTAGTAGAAAAGAAGACACACAAGATATTTAGGAGGTAGAATAGATAAGATTTAGTGATGGACTGGATGTGAGTAATAGGAAGAAAAAATCTAGTAAAGCTCCTTGGTGTGTTTTCTTAAGAAACTTTAATCAAATACGAATTCACTCTCTTTTCAAGGTTCGTGGTGCCCTTAATGCAATCAGAGGTTTGATCCCTATCACTTCTGAAAAGCCCAGAGCTGTTGTGACTTACAGCAGTGGAAATCACGGCCAGGCTCTCGCCTATGCTGCCCAATTGGAAGGTACTTACCGATTTCTCCGGGTCCTGGGTAGGATGTTAGAGTAGAAAAGTATCCTTACTTTCAGTGAAATGGGTGATAGCTGTGGGAATTTCTCTAAGTCCCTATCTGATTACAAGCAACTGAACAGAAATTTCTACCCTAAACTTTCCCGATTTGTACTAACTGTGTTTCTCCATCTCAGGAATTCCTGCTTATATTGTGGTACCCCAAACAGCTCCCAACTGTAAAAAACTGGCAATACAAGCCTATGGAGCCTCTATAGTCTACAGTGAACAGAGCGACGAGGTGAGGAAGGGAGCAATGTTCAGTAACATCTTACCAGTTTTCACTGTCAAATGAAATTTCTCTTCCTACATTTTTGGGTACTTCTTCTCAGGCTCCTGTCTTCCTTTTTTGCTCTTTTAAAGATTTTATTTTTTAAAGAAAGGGAAAGGGAAAGAAACATTGATCAGCTGCCTCCTGCATGCCCCCCACCCAGGGGTTGAGCCTGACCTGGAATTGAACCAGCAACCTTCTGGTGCACAGGACAGTGCCCAACCAACTGAGCCACACAGGCCAGGGCTCCTGTTTCTTTTATATATGCCTACCTTTTCTTTACTTACACTGATATTAGTCTCATAGTTTGACATATCACCCATCTATATGCCAACTCCAGGCCTGAACTTTGCCCTTAACCCAGATTTGTATATCCAACAGCTACTCAGTGTCCCTACTTGGATGTCTTAATAGGCATTTCAAACTTGCTGTCTAAAACCAAATGATCTCATTCCCCCCCTTTATTGCTCCTCTTCCAGTCTTCCTCATCTCAGTAAATGGCAAACTAGTTGCTAAAAACAAATGTTGAAGTCATCTTGGTAACTTTTGCACTCCACATCCAAATTTTAGACCTACTTTCAAAATATTTCCATAATTCACCTACTTCTAGCAGCCTCTACCATTACTACTGATTCAAACCAACATCAGTTCTCAGGTAAATGCAGCAGCCGCCTAACTGGTGTCTCTGCTTCCACCCTTGTCCAACTAGTCTGTTTTCAGAGCAACCAGCTATCCTTAGTAAGCTAGAACTTCTCTTGTCAGCTCAAAATCCTCCAGTGTTTTCCCATCTCATAGACAGTGGGAAGCAAAGTTCTTCAATCATCTAAGGCCTACGGACTGGCCCATTCCTATCACTCTGACCTCATCTCCCAGTTATCCACCCCCAAACACTCCACGCCAACCGCACTTAGCAGTTTCTCAGAAAGGCCAAGAGCTTTGCAGTCTTTGCACTTGGAATTACTTTCCCTGGAATATTCTGGGTTCACATCTATTAAAGTATCACTTTATCAGCGGCCCTTTGTGAGTACCCTGTATAAATTTTCTCCATAGCATGTAGACATACTATAGATTTACTTATATTCCGCCCCTCCCCAACATATCCTATATAATAGAGCTAATATGCTAAGTAGACCAGACGGCAGAATGACCAGTGGACAGGGCCATGAGGCAGCCTGGGCTGCGACGGGCCAAGTCCCTTGCATGAATTTCGTGGATCGGGCCTCTAGTTAGAACATAACTCCCTGGAGCACAGGGACTGTTTTGTTCAGTTATATTCCCAGTGCCCAGAGTCTCAAAAAAGTAGACGGCCAATAAAGTGTTAAATGCTTGAATCTAATTTGTTGAAAACACTACTAAATACAGATCAAGTATGCTAAAATAATGTACTCTTTCAGTCCAGAGAAAATATTACCAAAAGAATTATAGAAGAAACAGAAGGCATCATGGTACATCCCAATCAAGAACCTGCAGTGATGGCTGGGCAAGGGACAATTGCCATGGAAGTGCTGAACCAGGTAAAAGCCTAGTCAGTTCTTGCTGAACTACTGGTAAATCTGATGTTTGACTGTAGAATCAACTATTTAATATGTACATATAAAACTGGTGTTTAATAGGCCTACTTATACTTTATATATTCTTTTCACTAAAGGTTCCTTTGGTAGATGCACTGGTGGTACCTGTAGGAGGAGGAGGAATGATTGCTGGAATAGCAATTACAGTTAAGGTAAGGAAACAACTTCTGGAAGACTCCCCACTTTAGGCATAGAGGATTTTATTTCACATCATAGTACATTGTGATACTTGCTCAACATTCCCCCTAAACTGCCGTTCTCATTTCTTAGCAAATGAGATGAAAGGCCCTTCTCTGCCTCACCACCCTTTCCTTAATTTATGACTTTACAGCACAAAAGCAATTACAGTGAGTGGCACCCTATCATAGTCCTTTCCCTGAATTCCATCTCACCAACCTACTATCCAAGTCAGGGGCTACTGTTTTCTCAAGTTACCAATAGAACCAGATGTGATCTAGGCAACTGAAGGCCAGTATTAGGCATACAATTTAAAGTGCTTTAAGGTCATATTTTCATTACACCTATCAGAGAAGGCTCTTACTTGGTCAGAAACGTGTTACCTGTACTGCCTATTTTACTGCAGGCATGCAGGCAGTGGCTAGTGGTAAGGTGTCTACTATTCCCTTCCCAGGCTTTGAGACCTACTGTGAAGGTATATGCTGCTGAACCCTTGAATGCAGATGACTGCTACAAGTCCAAACTGAAAGGGGAACTGACCCCCAATCCCTGTCCTCCAGAAACCATAGCAGATGGTGTCAAATCCAGCATTGGCCTAAACACCTGGCCTGTTATAAGGGACCTTGTGGATGATGTCTTCACTGTCACAGAGGATGAAATTAAGGTGAGGCTCCAACAGGAAAGAAAACCAAAGAACGGAGCAACTTTTTAAGCAAAAGATACTTCTCTTCTCTTGCAGGTAGCAACTCATCCACTGGGGATCTGACTTGGTGACTTATGACGTGGGAGGGTGCTCTAGATATTGGGACAACCCTCATCAGAAACAGAGTTAGAATGAATGAGAAAAAAAAAAAAGACTAGCTCTTCATTGGCAAGCATATGTATATATAACATTTAGCTTTTAAGTGTAAAGGCCCACCAACTAGGCTTTCCTTCTCCCGTTTCACTAATTCTTACTCCCTTTCTACCAACAGTATGCAACCCAGCTGGTATGGGAGAGGATGAAACTGCTTATTGAACCTACAGCTGCTGTTGGAGTGGCTGCCGTTCTGTCTCAGCATTTTCAAACCATTTCCCCAGAAGTAAAGAACATCTGTATTGTGCTCAGTGGTGGAAATGTAGATTTAACTTCCATAACTTGGATGAAGCAGGCTGAAAGGCCAGCCCCTTATCAATCTGTTTCTGTTTAATTTATGCATAAGGAAGAAATGTGATTCAGTTTTTCTAGACACTTGGAAATTTTGTTTCTTAGTCAATGTTAACTTCCCACTTCTTACCTACTTAAACAGCTTTCAACATCCTAATGGAGGGTAGATATATCGATAAGATTTAAGGTGTTTTTTTTTTATAAAGTAGCAATAGAAAAAACATCCACTTAACTGAGACACCTTGTCAAGGCCAAGAAAAATCTTTTGCAAAAAGGGACAGCAGGCTTGCAGGCTAAAATAGGTAACACAAACTCTGCCCAATCACAACCTGTAGGTTCCCATCCCTAGGGTGCTAAGCTAGTAGCAAGGAGACAGAATCCCATTGTATCCATTACTTCATGTCCATTTCTGGCACTGTTGAAATCTCACTTTTCACCCAAGGTACTGGTTCTGGTACATATGGATCATAGGTCCATTTGGGGAAAACTCGTTTATAGAGGTTCATCAGTACTGTGTCCTGAGATTTTAGCTTCCCATCAAAACTGCACTTCATATGGCCATGAGTACCTAGAAAGAAAACACAGCAAGTTGGTGAGATTAAAATAAAATTTTAGCACAGGTTTCTGCCCTAATAGCCACTTAGTAGCACTGGAGATATCTAGCTAAGGTTCCAAACACCACCTTCTCTTACCTAAAGGCTCCTTGATATGTCCCCTGCGGCCCCACTTTGTTCTCAGTTCCACCGGTTTAAACCACAGCACGTCCTCTTAGAATGAAACACACAGAAGACCAAGATACATTTACCTGCAAAATGTACACCCAACCTTCACCCCATAAAGGCAATCAGATCCCACCCTTCACACCTACCTCTGCTGAAGAACATGTAACGTACTACTGCCATCTTAGTAAAAATTTTGAAAGGATGACCACTCAGAACAACTCTCTTGATGACCATCCTGTCTGGATCCACTGACAAGAGATGGCCGGTAGCAACGAGGCTGTGCATTCCTAAGGGGCAAAAGCAGAGCAGCAAGAGTCTTTAGGCCAAAGCATTTATTGCTCCAGTCCATTTAAAGACCTATGCAAGATATTCTTAGAGAAACCTTAAAATAGGGATGTACTATGCTGCCTCCTAGATCCATGGCAAAGATCACTAAGTGATATTCCTGCTGACCCTGTCCCCAGATCCTATCCTGAATATAACACTTTGAGCAGCTTCTACCAATTAGCTCCAGTTTGCAAGCGAGATCACACCCCATTGCCTGGCTGGTGTGGCTCAGTGGTTGAACATCGATCCATGAACCAAGAGGTCACTGGTTCGATCGCCAGTCAGGGCACATGCCCGGGTTGCAGGCTCAATCCCCAGTATGGGGTGTGTGAGAGGCAGCCGATCGATGATGTTTCTCTCTCATCGATGTTTCTCTCTATTCCTCTCCCTTCCTCTCTTAAAGAAAAAAATCACTAAAAATGTATTTAAAAAAAAAAAAAGAAGAAAGGATCAAACCCCATTTGTCGCCCGCCCCTGCCTTAGACCCACTGTGAGGCTGAGACTGGGATATTCTGAAAACTATCATCCCCTTCTCTATACCATTTGGCTCCCAAATCTAAATACAGAAAACCATGTTAAGTCTATTAGAGACCTGTAGGTCTGTTTACCTCTGTGAACTCAACTTACCATTGCTATTCTGTTTGAAAAGCAGCACAGATGCAGGAGGAAAAGTGATTGGGGCATACACTGTCACCACTAGGGCCATGTCAGCAGTCAAGAACCTCTGAAATTTATGTTTATCCGCTGCCATAATAAAGGTTAAAAAATAAAAATCAAAAACATTTTGAGGAACCACAGGTAATCCAGAGGCCTGTGAAAAGCTGTATCACTGCAACTCTTACACCCAAGATAGCTTGTGTTTCTCTTCCCAATATTTTCCTGCCTCCATACACCTCAAAGGTACAACCCGACCCTATCACAGTGATTTTTCAGAGGCAGAATTTGAGCCTAGACTACATTTGGGGTTTGAAAAAGTTCTCCAGTGATTCTAATACATATCACCCCTGCCTACCTCATTTGGGAATCAGTATTTTATAGAGAATATGTCCACTAAATCAACAGTTCTTAGTCTTGAGTGAGAATTGGCAAACATTTTCTATAAAGGGCCAGATAGTAAATATTTTAGGCTTTATGACCATGGAGTCTCTGTTCTAATTACTCAACTGTCACTGGAGTACAAAAATAGCCAAGACAATATATTTTTTTTAAAAAGCAAAACTGTATTCCAACAAAACTTTATAAACAGTAGGACAGACGTGGCCCAAGGGCTGTATTTTACTGACCTCAGATCTTGGGGACTATCTGGAATTTCTGTTTTTACCTTCAATGAAACCCTCCTCCTTTTTAAATACTGAAGTATAGGGAAGGAAAATATTTTAAGGAAAAGAAAAGTTAATCCCTCATTTAGACAGCATTGGTGGAGAGAACAGAAATTATCCAGAGCTCCCATTAGTACTGCCTTCATCATCTTCCTCTGGCCATTGCTGAGCTGAGTGTGTAAGTCATGTTCAAAAGCCCCCAAGTTAGTACAAAACTTCCCACTCCTAATTTGTAGCACAATAATTTTTGCCACAAAAGTGTCACCACTCTCCAAACTCCCATCCAGTCTAACATCTCAGAAGCCACGCATCTCTTGCTTAATCTCTCTGGGGATGACCCACTAGCCTTCACCCACACTGCCAATGGCATATCAGATGTCAAGGGTTCCACACTTTGATACATCATTTTTATAAAGCAGCCTCCTCTGACTCAAAATCTACCCTGGAACAAATACTCATGGCAGAGAAACCTCAGCACCACACAGGTAGCATCACTGGGATGCTTCAGACAGGTTCAGACATTTTGAATAAACACATCATTGGCTTCTAAACCAGAGTACTGAACATCCTCTAACCCAGAGACCTAGAATTTGAAATTGTGTGCTCTGTACCACCTCACCTAAAGTTACAGTCTCCCAAGAGACAACAGGATAGACAAGAACCCAGAAGTTCCCCACTGCTTACCTGCAGTGTGCTGAGAGAATAAAGGTGAGGCTCGGAAGCGCCTGAACCCACAGTGGAAGATCAGCTCCTCTTTAGCTTTCACAGGTTCAGTGTTGCCAGGATGCCGGCTTACCACCATATTCAGCACTGACATCTAGAGACCAAGTCAGAAAAACAGAACTTCATATCTAGAACAGCTTAACCTGAAAGAAGGCAAACCAAACTAACAGGTTCAGATTCACACCTGATGTGGTACAGATGATGAGACACAGATTCACCTTTTACCTTCACAGCAACTGGCATTTATACCGAACACAGGCTGGTTTTCAGAGCTGTCATGTACCCATCTGCACTAGTTGACATTCCGGTGTCTAACGTGCAAGAGCTCAACATCTGCCACATGCTTAGTGACTTCAAGCTACTCACTCACCACACACCTCAAAATCACACTCATGAAGCCCCCTTTCTTCCTCAACACTTACTCACACTGACCAAAGGCCAGAGCTCTCACATACACTCCAACCTCCATGACTACTGCCTCCAAGAGAAAAGATCCACACCTTGGCATCCACACCCTTTATTTTTAAGGCTGCCAACCCTTGGTTAAAATCTGATCTGACAAGTATACTTATCTCAGAGAAGTCTCAGACCACACAGGTTGCATCACTGAGATGCTCAGACAGGTTCAGACATGTAGGGTTAAACCATCATTGACTTCTCTATCACCCCGGTTTAATCCTCAAGGCCTATTTTTTGCATCCCAATGAGCAAAATGCCAGCCACAAGTAAAATGTTAGACTGTCAGATAAAACTGGTCAGAAAGTTTCATAACTCCCATTTCCCACAAGACACTAACCTTCTGTTCATGAGGCAGCAAAGAAAACGCGGCCAAGGGTGCCCCGCGCTTGAAATACTCAACCACAGAGACGGGTACTTCAGAGACATGAAGGGTGACGTACCAGCCAACCTGCCAGATAAAGCAGAAACAGCCACACAGTTACCCTTAAGGCCGCAATAATGATGAAACATCTCTCCAAATATGTTAAAAAGTCTCATAAGGCCAACACCTGCCCTTCAAAATTGCCTTTCACAGATGCCTCAACTATCCAGATTAAACTCTTCCAGTTAACATATCTGATACCTCCCTTCTCCCAACATCACTCGTATCGATGACTCAGTGACTCCTCTAATTCAGCTACGGGCAGCACAAAACTAAGGTACTCTTGCCAAGAGGAGTAAAGGAGGGGGCAGCTTGGCAAACAAAACAAATTGTAGGGATGAAGGAAGGCAGGCAGATACCTCAGCTCCTTCAACGTCTTTTTCCTTGATTTCTTTAAAGATGCGTTTCCTGGTATTGGTAAAGTTCTGAAACTGAAAGATCCGAGCATAATCTTGAGGAAGATTTTCCTTAGGATCCCATGGAGATGTCCGGAAGCTCTTGAGGCCTCTGTATTTCTGAAATCTAGAATATAGAAGATTTTAAATAAATTAATAGTCTAATTTATATGGTGCTACGCTTTCACTTAAGTCAATAATAGACTAAGCTTCTAACTTAAAAGAACTCTTATCACTATTTCTTCAAGATAACCTAATAGCCCAAATCAAGAGCACACTCCAAAACAGTGAACACGTATTTCAGAACCAAACCCAAGTTTCTCACTGACAAAGGACGAAGTATGTACAGTGGCTCCCTGCTGCCTATCAGGGAGGGCTCCTTAACCTGAGGAACACGGTCCTTAATAAAAGCCTAACTTCTCTAACGTCCAACAAGCTCCCTGAGTTTTCAGACTAATCCCGTGCTTTTATTCTTTTGGTTCTACCCAAATTCCCCCACATCTCCAAACATTCAATTGAGTATTAGTTCACATAGGAAGATGGCTAATTAATCTTATTAAAGTACTGTTAACGTTATTAGTCTACACCACAGTCTCTAGAACTTGGTAATGTATTCATTTCCTGTATGTGTCTTATCTTCCCACATATAACATTAGCCCTTCAGGAGCAGGACAATGTTTTTCTTCTTTTGTGTCACACTGACACCTCTGAGCCACATAAATTTAAAATAAAAAATGTATTAATTGATTTTGGAGTTGTTGACTAACCGAACTCTAGCAGCCACATCACGCGGCGTATCTACTTCATCTGGAAACATCTCTTCCAGTCTTTCTTGTTTGTATTTTTCTAGCATTTTTTCCTCAGCCTCTTCATCCACTTTCTCATCATATAGATCATCACGCACAGACTCCCCAATAGTCATAGTTTCACATTCCTCCTCTTCTTCCTCTTCACTACTCTCATCCTGTGGAATAAAGGATTGCAGTTTCAGAAGAAACCCACACCTATCTCTACCCTAAAAGCCATTAAGCTAAGAATAATAGTTATTAGACACCTAGTCCAAACTGTATTAATTCTGAGAGACTCAGTTATAAAGCAAGTCTCATTCCTGGCAACCACAGTGATTCTTAAAAAACTGACCACAGGCCCTGGGTGGGTAGCTCAGTTTGTTAGAGCACTATCCTGATGCATACACCAAGGATGTGGGTTTGATCCCAGTTAGGGCACATACAAGAATCAACCAATGAATGCATAAATAAGTGGAACAACTGCCCTGGCCAGTTTGCTCAGTGATTAGACTGTGGGCCTGCAGATTGAAGAGTCACAGGTTCAATTCCTGGTCAAGGGCACATACCGGCTTTGCAGGTTCCATCTCAGTCCCCATTCAGGATGAAACAATGATGTCTCTCTCTCGTGTCCATGTCCTTCTATCTCTCTCTCTTCCTCTCCCCCTCCTTCCCTTCCTCCCACTATATCTGACAAATCAATGGAAAAAATGTCCTCAGGCCCTGGCTGGTTTTGCTCAGTGGATGGAGCATTGGGCCTGAAGGGTCCCAGGTTCAATTCCAGTCGAGGGCACATGCGGGCTCAATCCCCAGTGGGGGGCATGCAGGAGGCGGCTGATCGGTGATTCTCTCTCATCACTGATGTCTCTACCTCTCTCTCCCTCTCCCTCTCCCTGCCTCTCTGGAAAAAAAAAAATAAAGTCCTCAGGTGAGGATTAAAAAATAACAATAATTGGAACAACAAATTGATGTTTTTCTCTCCCCCTTTCTAAAAAAAAAAAAAAATCAATAAAAATTAAAACAACAACAACTGACAACACATATCTTAAGGTCAGGGTTGCACTTTGCCTTGCAGTTGGGGCTGTATATAGAAGTGGCCTAAGGGACTATTTTCTTACCTGAGATTCCTCTTCCATAAAATCCTCATGTTCTATATCATCATATTCATCATCTTCCCCATCACTTTCGCCATCCTCATCCAAAATCCATTCAGCTTGGTAGCTGGATGTTCCTTTAGGAACCTTCTTTACCACCTTGGAACTTTCCTTCAAAAAGTCTGTAAAAGCCCAAATGAATTAAGTAAATTATATACCTCCTCTCCCCTATTACTTTGGGTATTCTCACCTAGGAAAGACCAGATGTTGCTGCCAACACCAAAAACTCTAGCAGACACAATAAGCAAAACAGACTACTGCTTCCAAATTTAATCCCACTGCCTCAAAACTAGCAACATTTAACTAAATAAACCTTACAACGAATCCCAAGTTGTTTTCATTAGAAAATAGTAACAAGTGAGAAATGAGGCAAAGCTGTGTCCAATGTTTGCTTAAGCAAACAGAAAGCATTTGGGGGACTAGAAGAGACAAACCTCTAAATAAATCCTCATCCCACTCTACCTTATAGGTCTTGACTGTGAGCAGCTAGACAAAATCCATAATTCCAGGCCAGATGAATTACAAACAAGCTGCCATTACCAACCATTTGCCTCACTCAGTTCCTCCTCAGTGGGCCAGGTTTGCTCCCCCTCCATCGGATCAGGTATAACCTCTGTTTGCAAAGATTCTTGTCTATCAGGGTCTGCCTTCATTAGGACCTTAAGGTCTTCCTCCATGTCAGTTACAGCATCTGTAGCACAAATCTAAAAACAAAAAACAGGTAATGGTCAGTCAAATATTAACGAAAAATCTAGTAAATCTAACATAGTAACCAGAAAGATGAAAAAATAACATAGTCCTCACGTAGAAGATGAAATAAATTTAAAGAGAAAGCCAAAATGTGTCAAGCGTTTTCAAATGGTTCTGTTTCCTAGCATTTTAAGCCTATACCTCTGCTTGACTGGAGTCTTTTCAATATCTGGCCCCACTATCTTTTTGTTACATACTTTATTCCCAAGCAAGCTGATTTCTTCAGAGTTCAAAGAAATCCTTTGATCCACCATTATGCTAGGTTCATGTTGTCTCTATATTCTAGGATATTCTTTCATCTCTCTAAAACTTGTAAATCACATTCACCCTACACAACACCTAGCTGATGTCTGATATCTCTGTGAAGCTTATTAGTCTACTTCCTCAACTCCCACCGCAGGTCTGTACCTCAACCACACTTACCCAATCTTTATTTCACAGGTGTTTGCCATTTGTTTTTCCTGACCTAATTGTCTGAGGAAAGAGACTACATCTTGTGTCTCCTATAAACACAGAGCCAACTGCTGTGTAAGGCACCTGCAGAGTGCTGGATAAATATATAACATACCAACATATTTGTAATTGACTAGTGCCTTACTTCTAACTAGCAGTCACCCCCAGGGACTAGGGTAGTTGTCTGGGCATGCAGACTACCTTCTCTGAAGTTAGTTTCCATCCTACACCAGCTTACACATGAAGCAACAATACATACTCTTTAAGAATCAATCTAAAAAAAAAAAAAAAAAAGAACATCAATCTTACCTCCATCGCCGTGCCTGAGTCCTTTTGGGATTTGATCACTCTAGGGTTTAAAGGAAAAGGATCCATAGGGGCATCTATCTGTTTCATCTGGAAGTCACCATGTCCAATGATATGCAACAAGCTATTTACATTCAGAGTCTGTCCACGAACATAGCCTGAAATTTTCAAGGTCCCCACCAGGTTATTCTCTTCATTAGGCACAAAGTCAGCATCATGAGCAAAAAGATAGGCCCGCCGATCTCGAAAGGCAAGGTGCCGCTGCTTCCGGTTAGCCAACTGCCGGAGCAGCATCCCTGCCTCCTGTTGCGTGTCTAACAAAAGGAGCTTGTCATCAGGAAAGCGCTTCTCCACTACTTTACTTAGCTTCTTTCTGGCATCTACTTGTTTCTTCGGTGGGAGGCCAGAAATCCCCTGGACAGCTAGTGCTAGGAGCAAAAGAGAAAAGGGCTTCATGACTTCTTGCTTCACTACATGAAAATTCCCCAAGCAAGTTCACAAAAAAACTAACAGTTGTGAGCATAGAGATCACTGGGAAACTCAACACTCAGCTACCTTAAAGAAATTACAGAGTAAAACCAAACTTTATACTCTTCTTCCTCTGGGCAAAGGGCAGTCCAGAAATAAAAAGGCACCTTATACAAAATATTGAATGTAAACTGTAATTGTAAAAGAAATTTTTAAGGCACATCGATGCAAGTTATAGGTGCACACTAAGGGCTAATTCACTTCCTTCATGGCCTCCAGTATTTCCAAATCACTTACTATAGGTGGGAAGGCCCTGGGCAAAGAGGCAGGAAAGGCAGTAATCCCCAGTGCTGTCCCAGCCTTCTAGTGGGTCGAGGAGGAACAGGATGCTATCAGCCACTTTAGCCAAGTCGAGCACAGTGTGCAGATCTCCTGGAGACAGAAGACAAAGTCAGTAGGAAGAGGTGGTTGGCATCAGCACATAATACTAAAAAAATATTATCACTACTCATACATACACAGTGATAGAAAATATTGTATACTCACCTGGCCTTGCAGATGTGAAAAACCACCGATGTTTCAAGCCGGGGCATAGCAGCATAAAGCTGTGGGTGCTTCCCCATTCATTCAAGTGTACTGTTCCACTGTCCCTATCCTGAAGCAGCCGGAAGGCCTCTGGCAGGGAAATCCTGTCGTGCAGGGGCAGCACCAGTACCTGATGAGGAGGGCCATCTTTACTGCCCAGCTGCCTCTTCTCTGCCAGAACCTGCAAACAGAAAGGACCAGAGAATATCTCAGTGTGTCAGCACTCCCTTCCATTATTGCCTTTCCAACATAGGGATGCCCTAACCCGCTTCATTTCTCTTGTAAAAAGCCACGTGTTTATCCTGGGGGGTGGGCAGGAGCTCAGACCAAAGCAAAGGATGCTCTAGCATGAATCTAGACCTGCACAACTAACATGTGCTCCAGGGTTATTCACCGTCTCCGGCCTGCCCAGGGTCACATTTCTGGTTGGAGGCATTGTCCGCCTAGCAACTGTGAAGCCACACCATCCCCAATCCCTACTCCTCTCACCGCCTCTTTCTTCTGCTTCCGAAGCTGGCTGGCGCGATGCCTCTGGTCTACTCTGCTGAGCTCCTTTCTCACCTTCTTGCTTAGGCTTTTCAGTGCTAGACGGCCTGGAGGGAGATCATAAAGGGGACCAGAATAAGGTCAAGAAAGGGGACCTCTTCTCGCCCACCTTAGAGCATTTATGCTGGGTCCAGGCCGGAGGTAGGAGCTGAGACTGCGCATGGCGAATAGCAGTTACATCGACTAAGCCCTTCTCCCTCCAACCCTACATTCTCACCCTTGCCGTCGCGCTGCGCGGATCCCCGACCCCGGTGCCGTCCGCCTTTATGAGCTTTATTCTGTTGCTTGAGCGGACCTGAGCGGTGGGCGGCCATGCTGCCGCTCACGTGGACCAAGTCAGCACTACTTCCGGCCCGGAACGAGTACTTCCGGTCCCTCCCTCAGGGGCGTGTCCTCCCAGGGGCGGGGCGGGGTTCTCCTCGTCCTCTCGCGAGGGTCCTTGCCGCCGCTCCCGCGCCTTCACAAAACCACTTGGTAAACTTTTCCCACGCGGCTGTCGGCCTTTGGGGGCTTTCAAACGCCGGATGTAGACGCTAAGTTTGCACTGTTACTTCCAGAGGGCTGTTGTGCTCTCCGTATATTCAGTTTTGCTCTAACAAGTTGCATCACTGAGGACGATGTTGAATGGCAGCTTCTCCATCCGTGTGGAAGAGGGCAGAGCCCCTCCGCTCTCCCAGCTTCTCACACGCCGCTCCTCACTTTGCAGCAGCCTGTGCGCTGTGTCACTTTGAGCAACGTTTCACGACCCTCGTTTCCCTTGTGATGCTGCTGAAGGCAAGCAAATAGCGTGGAACGCGCTTCTCTAACTTTCACGGGCTCCGCACAGTCCCCGCGGGTCCCGGTTACCCCAACCCGCGCCCCCACCTCCCACAGAGCTGCAACAAGTGCCGCACTGGGCGCGACGACCCCTGCGACGCCGGGTCGGCCTCTTTTAGCTCCTGTCTCCTGCACTCCCACGCTACCCACAAGCTTTGCAAGGGAGGGCAGGGGGAGTAGAGCAGCGGTGGAGTTCTGGCCTTGCAGCCAGGGGACCACCGCTTCCTTTCCCGTGGCCAGACTGGAGGCGCAGGGGGCTCCCGGACTTTCCCGTCGGGAAAACGAGCCGGCAGAAATCAGGGAGTGGGCCCAGCTGGACTGAGGCCAGTTACCGCGCGAGCAACTTTCTCTTCAGCCGCCGGGTTCAGGGTGCGCCTCGCCTCCGGGGTCGCTGTGCCGGCCTGGCTGCAGGTGCTCACAATGCGGGTTCCCGCCCTGGGGACTGAAGCCGGCGCGTTGCCATGACAGCGGCCGGCGTGGCGCGCTCCCAGGCCGGCCGCCCCCGGTCTCCGAGCGCACCCCCCCCCCCCCCCCCGCCTCCCGCCCCGGCTGTGGGAAGGGGCCGGGCCAGCTGCCTGACGTCTGTGCGGGGCTCAGAACATGGCTGCGGAGCCGAGCACCGGGCAGTGGCTGCGGCGGCGGCGGCGGGCGGGGAGCGCAGCGGACGGGGGCTCCGCTTTGCGCGTGGGGCGCTGAGCCGAGAGGCGCGGAGGCGGCGAGGGGGGTTTTGGGGGACGCTCGACGCGGCCTCTCCGCCACCCGCAGCACCATGGGCAGCGCGGAAGACGCACTCAAAGAGAAACTGCTGTGGAACGTGAAAAAGGAGGTAAAGTCGGGGCAAGGACCCCCGGGGGCTCGCGTCCCTGCCCGAGGAACCCCGTGAAGGGTCCGCGCCCACCGGCGGGCGCGGGAGCAGGCGCTGGCAGGCCCCGGGCGGGGGCGGGGTCCTGGACGAGCGGCGGCTCCCACTCCTCTCCCGGGTCTGGGGTCAGCGCCCCTTGGCCCGAGGGGCTAGGCCGGTGCCCCCGGGCTTCTTTGCTCTGCGATCCTGCAGCTCCCCGCCCTGTGACGGCAGCTGTGCTGGGAGACCGAGGTCGGGGGAGGGGTGGCGGCGATTTCTGGAAAACTGAAGCTGCCCGTGCATTGCCCGTGCGGACTCGGGAGGGGGCGGGGCCCGGCGCTGGCCTCCTAGTGAGGCTGACCGGGTGATTTGGGGACTTAGCTCCTGTTTGCCCTGTGCCCCACTCTGGTACCCTTTGGGAACTGAGTGGCAGCTGCGGGAGGGTTCGCCTCACACCTCACTGCTTCTCAATCCATGCCCACCTCCTTACCCAGAGAAGTGGTGGGAGGGCGAGTTTGAGAATGGTTTTTAAGACTCAGATTTCCCCCCCTTTTGAGGAGTCCCCCGCCCGATGTCAGAAAAAGAATCCTTTTCTCTACTAACTAACGTCTTTTACCTTGACTCTGCTCTAAAGCCTATTTCAATTTCAGTTTCGGGGGGGGGGGGTGTGCCCATATGAATGACTCACCCCCATATGAGAGCTGGAGAGCTCAAACCCGCAGAATGGATTAAAATAGATTAGGCCTCTGGAGCCATGAACAACTCTGACCTACCTCTGTGTCTGCCAGATGTGTGTGTTCCCCCGGGGGCAGGAAAACTGTTTTGTCCACTACTCTGTATTCAGGGCACACAGTAGGCACTCAATGATTGTTTGGTGACTAAATCTACTGATCTTGAAGACTGCAAGGTCTGGTGGGAATGCATACATTTTGAAATAGTCTGGACCTATCTCAGTGTGATCTTGAATAAGTTACTTAACCTCTCTGGATATTAATTTCTTCATCTCTAAAATAGAGATAACAATATCTACCTCACCTATAAAAGTTACCGTATTGGGTTCTTTACCCCCTCCTAGAGTTTCAGGATTGGAGAAGAGTCTGGTTCTCATGAAATCCTGGAAGGCTCTCGATGGTTCTCCTGCATTATCTGGCCTGGCTTTGTGCCCTAACATTTGTTCCTTTCCCTCTAATTGGCAAAGAAGTCGTTGAAGCCATCACCTTTCCAGGTGTGCGCGAAGCTCCATTGTGCCCTTGCTGTGAAGTGGCCAAGAAAGAGTGTTTTTTTAGGCCAGGAGTATATCAGATCAGCACTTAAGCCCCAACTCTGTTCTCCCAAGGAAAAGAGAAATCTCAAATCTCAACGATTATCCTCAGGAAACAAGCAGTCTAGTGACAGAGACGGATATGAACAGTATAAGCAAGAACAAAAAGTAGGCGTACCCAAACTGTAGCCAGAGGTGCTAGGATTGTTGGTGTGATTCAAATCTGGGGTTAGTCAGGGATGATAGGAAAGATTTTTGAAGAGACAATGATTCTTTTCTCAGTATTTGGAAGGCTGTCTGCAAACTCCAAGAATGATTCCTAAACAAATGCGAGACATGTCCAGAATATGTCACAGCTGTGTTACATTACCTGACAAAGATTGACCTGCTTTGAACTTCGTCCCCTTACCGTTTGAGTACTCAATTTTGAGAGAAATATCCTTTCTTCTCCTACCAGCAGAGACATTGTGGAGAGCTGTAGGCAAGGCTGGCCTTTCACAATGAACCTCTGGTATCCAAATTCTAGGGGCATCTGTAGGTCCTCCTAACCTAAAAGTCTGCCCTGCCAGCCTACGTCAGATGTCACAGGTTTCTGAGCTGTGACATTATGCTCTGTTTAATGCAAGCAGCCTTGGTAAATAATCTAGGAAGCTTTTTTTAAGAGTATAGAGTGCAATATAAGAATATCAATGCATACAGAAATAAATAGAATAACAAGTTGCTGTTTCTCTCCCTCTCTCTCTCTCAAATCAGTTTTAAAACATTTTTAGTTAAAAAAAAATTATAGTGCAGGATTGATCTGAACCCTTTTACCTAATTGCTAACCATGAGCAAATTCAAGCGAGAAGGAGCCCCCATCTCCTTCCTCCCTGTCCCCCAGGCTTTAGTAGCTCCACCACCCTTCTCACTGTACAGTCCTAGGTGAGGGACATGGGAGCCAGGGCAGCACCAGGACATTTCATGTCTGGTCCCAAAAGAATGGCAAACACCAGCTCTGCCAGGAGTTTACTTTATCTGGAACATTTTACAGGGGGTTTGAGGTAATCTATTCCTTTAATCTCCAGGATTCGTATCTGTCTCCTGGCCGGCAGGTTCCCCCAGGACATCAGAAGTGCTTGGCTTTAATGTTGGGAGCACCTAGAACCTCATATACTACAGACGGGAGTGTAGATTGGTACAACCACTTTGTTGTGTGTGTATTTTTTAATATATTTTTGTTGATATCAGAGAGAAAGGGAGAGGGAGAGGGAGAGAGAGGTAGAAACATCAATGATGAGAGAGAATCACCAATAGGCCGCCTCCTGCACGCCTCCTACTGGGGATCGCACCCGCAACCTGGGCATGTGCCCTGACCGGAATGGATCCTTCAGTCTGCAGGCCAACACTCTATCCCCTGAACCAAACCAGCTAGGGCATGGTACAACCACTTTGGAAACAATTTGGCAAAAATCTAGTAAATCAGAAAACAGGCATCAGAAATTCCTTGCCTAAAAATATAAATCCAAAGATGACATGTCCAGAATGTTCATAGCAGCACTATTCATAACAGCCCCAAACTGCAAACTACCTAAAGCCCACTCAATTGTGGTGTGTTCACACAATGGAAAACGATCTCACAGTCACACCGGGAGCGAAAGAAACAGTCACAAAGCACTGTATACTGAGTGCTTCCATCGAGTAAAAGCACAAAACCCCACAAAATTACTCTATGATGTTAGAAGTCAGAATAGTGGGTACCCTTGAAGGGAGTGGGGACTAGAAGGAAACTTGGTAGAATGGAGGGAGGGTGCTTTGGGGTGCAGGTCAAATGCTCTGGTTCTAGATCTGGATGCTGGTTTCATAGGTGAGTTCAGTTTGTGAAAATTCGTCAAGAAGTATAATTATGATATACTAGTACACCTACTACAGTACATGTGAATAAACTAAGTTGTGGGGGGGGGGCTTAAGTGTTTCCTTAAAAGTGTGACCATTTTCAAGGTATTTGGAAGCTTTCCATGTGAGGAGGAACCCAAACATCAGGATTTTACCTAGACAGAAAGGGGGCTGGGCTTGTGAGCGTGTGGAGAGAGTGTCCCTAAGGCCTGGATGTACCTATCCCTAATCTCGGAGAAGGCAGAGAAGAGGAGGGGCGGGTTGTTTATCTGCAGCCTGTACTGAGACAGTTTGTCCCTGAAGGACAGTGCGTCTGCCCAGAAGCCCTTATCCAGCGAAGTACAGATGAGCAAACAGCATCCTATCCCTGTGTCTCACAGCAGGGTATTTCCTCCTGGGCTAGAACATCTGCGCTGATTGGTTGGTGGGTTTATGGTGTATCTTTTTCTGGTTGCCTTTCCAAAATGCTTGGAGCTGTCTGTGCTGGAGAAAGTTGGCTTTCTCACCCCTCCCATCCTGTCATCTACTCTGCAAGTGTCTGAACCCAGGCCGGAGGGCAGAGCCAAGCTATTTACTTGTCCACAGGCCTTTGACCAGAAAATAAAGGACTATACTGCCCATGTATCCACAGGTGAAGCAAATCATGGAGGAGGCTGTCACCAGGAAGTTTGTGCATGAAGATAGCAGCCACATCATTGCTCTGTGTGGTAAGTGAGTGACTGGGAGATAGTGGGAGACGGGTCTAAAACTGAAGGCACTGTCCTGGGATCAGGGAAAGATGAGACCTCAGATTTTATGGTTTTTAAATCTGGGGGCAAGTCAGAATCAACTCAGAAGCTCTTGCAGTCTCCTTGGGCCCCATCCCAAACCTACTGAATCAGGATCTTCAGGACCCAGAGATCTATACTTGTTTAGTCCCCTAAAACAGTAGTATTCAAACTTTAGTATACATCGGTGTCCCAAAAGACTGGTTTGGCTCAGTGGATAGAGCATTGGCCTGAGGACGGAAGGGTCCCAGGTTCGATTCCGGTCAAGGGTACATGCCTGGGTTGCGGGCCCCATCCCCAGTCGGGGGTGTGCAGGAGGCAGATTGATGTTTCTGTCTCTCTCTCCCTCTCCCTTCCTCTCTGAAATCAATAAAAGTATATTTTTAAAAAACACCCAGATTCCTGGGCCCCAACATTGGAGTTTCTGATTCTGGTAGGTCTGGATGGGCCTGAGAATTTGCATTTCTAACAAACTCACAGATGATGCTGCTGGTCCAAGGACCACACTTCAAGAGCCATTGTCTTAGATAATTTGGGTTTGGGGACCACTGCTCTGGTTTGTCCTTACGTTAACTTTGGGGATGCATTTGTACTTTTTGGATGCTTTCTGTGTCACAACTACTTTCTAATTAGTTCCACCTGTGTTGCTTCAGCATCCCAAATCTCCAAGTACTTGATTGGGTGCAAAACAGCATGCGTGTGGGATCGGAGGGATAGCCAACACTATCTGTGATGGTTTATTGCAGACTTTCTCCCGCTTTAAAAGGAAGTCTGCAATAAGCCATCACTTCTTCCTCAACATGAACGCTTTTGCCTTTGTAGGAGGAAGCCTGTCTCTACACACAGCAGGGTTTTCTGGGATTTCCAGGGATTTAACCTTCCTTACAGCTCTCTTTCTGAAGGAACACAGAGCCATTTGCCTTTTCTATGTTTTTTCACTTGGCCTCTGAGATTGGTGTTAGAGGTTTGTGGAAGGGAGGTTGTGAATTCTTGAGGGGAAGGAAAGAAAGGAGCAGATAAGGGAGGGGATGCTTTTTGACAGCAGCATGGAGAGGCAGGAAGAGCTGTCCTTCCCATCCGTCCAGCAGTAAAGACAAAGGTCCACCAGGGACCAGTTGCTGTTCTCCAGGTGGGGAAACAACAGCACCAAGATGGGTGGCCTCTGCCACAGAGGCTTACACTCTGTGGGGAGACAGGCAGGAAGTGAATACACACATAAGCACATCATGCAGTAACAGGTATGATAATAGCTGTGAAGAAAAATAAAGCAGAGAGAGGTGGGAGGCTGATCGAGGAGAGGCAGCCTCTGAGTGGCAGGCTGAGGGTTCACACAAATCCTGATGCTCTGCTTACCTCTAAGTCATCTTGGTCAAGTGTCTTAACATCTGCCACCCTCAGTTTGCTCCCCTAAAAATAGGATGATGGTTCCCAGCGCAGGGAGTTTTTGTGGGACTGAGATGATGCGTGGGAATGTTCGTAGCGTTGTAAGAGCTCAGACAATGCCTGTCTTTCCTTCCCCTTTGGATGTTGAGGCTGAAGCTAGGTTTGTAGGATTGGAGTTCCCACCCTCTCCCCTTTGGGCAAGTTTCCCCAGTTCTTTGAGATGATGTAATGATTCCCAGGTTTTCAGGGAGTGGTCTGATCTCACCTTTTCCTGGGTAGAACCTTTGCCAGGAGGAGAGCATGCTAGTCTTGTAATAAGTGGCTTTGAAGAATATTAGACGTCTACTCATTTCTACTTGTGCTCTGTGCTCCCCTGACGTCAGCCACTGTCTGTCATTGTCACCAGAGGGCTCTGCTAGCAGCCCAATTTTGCATGGTTTAGTACTAGGCTTTGTCTAGAGCACCCACATCAAACACAAAAAACAAAAATTAATACAAACAGCTTGTGCATGGGCGCCACACGTGGGTGGTCATGGAGGAGTGGGGGCAAGAAGCAGGGAGAAAAGCTATGGGCATCCCTCATTGGGCCAATTAGGGTGAAAAGAAACCGTCAGCTCCCTTCTCATCACTCTAACCCAGTACGGCTTTCGCTCTTTTCTCCGGCCTGAAGCCCAGGGCTCTCCAGCAGGTAGGGTATCACTCTCAAAAGGAATGATTCTTCTCTCAACCAGTTTCAGTTGCTAAAATAGAAAAAAGATTTATGAGATAGACCCAAGTCTCCAGGGATCTAAAGTCCGCCCAGGAGCAAAGAGGAACCCTGTTCTGCTGGATCTCAAGAGGTGCCTTGGGTCCAGGAGTACAAACCTACTGGGTGGGCTGAGAAAGGTCAACCCAGGAAGCTGTCCAGGTACAAAGCAGCTGGCAGGGTGGGAGCTGGGCTGCACTGAACTGGACATGCTTGCCCTGTTTGAAGGAGGCGGCACAACCCAGCTCCTGCAGGCATGCCAGCCTGGGTGTGCCATGGCTTATTTGACTTTAAGAGAATCCAAAAATCTGGGATTTTATATGAAATTTCCCAATTTTTTGTAAATGCTGATAACTAATACTCCTTTTAAAAAAATTGTGTGGGCCACACAAAAAGCATCTGCAGGCCTCTGCCAGTTCGCTGCCTCTGCCTTGGGCTTAGTGCACAGTCACAGAGGGGAACGTTAGCAGGGGGGCTGCCAACAGTATAAAGCTCAGTCAGGCTGGGCACCTGAGAGCCACTGAAAAAGGAATCCTCACACTGTGTCAAAGTTGGTGTATTCAGTGAGGTGAGTCTCAGTCTGGGCTCAACCAGGTTGGTTGAAAGCAGTGATCATCAACCTTTTTTTTTCTGCCTGCAAGCTATTTGCATACAGTCACACAGTGGAATCATAATCAGGGATTCTTGGGGGGCAGGCAGAGGGGAGAATAGATACCCATTGAGGGAAAACTCCAACCGGCTGGCTTTTTGGAGATTCTGACATGCCAGTTTCTTTCATCCCCTGGAAAAAATGTTCAGGAATGCATTTTCAGTCTGAAGCAGATTCAGTCTTTTACTGGGGTCTTGCTGGTCTAGCCACATCCAGAAGTCAGCTTTGTTCTGGGAGAAATGGGGGTGCAGAGAAGGTGCTGAGAGATGGGGAGCAGAGTGAAGGCTGTGCAGACTTGTCTCTGGGCAGGGAGGGCCAGGAACCTGGAGACTGGGCAGCCCTGCCCCCAGTGCGTCCTGAAGGGAGGAGACAATTATGAGTCTGAGAACCCATGGTGCCAGTCCAGGAACTTCTCTGTGGACATGGTGGAGTGCTCACATCTAGAGCTTTGGGGAGTGATGGGGCCCTGGGCCCCTGTGTTCTTGGCAGAGGAGGGCAAGGCCTGGGCAAGATGAGCTTCTCTGAACTTCCTTAGAATAGAGACATTTGAACTGGAAACAGAACCTTCCTGGAGAGCCTTAGAAATGGACCTGAAGAATCTTTGAGTCAAGACCTCTGCATGCCCATGCCTTTCCTTTTCCCCTCTCCTCCCCCACAGGCATGCACCTCCTAAACTTCAAGGATCCCCACAAGACTTGCAACCAGGGGAGCAATGGGCAGTGGCAGCTCGTTCCAGGCTAACCCCCTGAACCTGTCTCCAAGGCCGCTTTCCTCTGACTCCTCCAGGAGCCAAAGCAGCCCCGCCCAGGCTCTCCTGTTGCCTCTGCAGTCCTAAGCCCTTGCTTGTCTCACTGTCCCCAGCTTTCATAAACACACTCTCAAAATAAAACAAGATCAACCTGGCCCTGGGCAAACTCAGGACAGCTGCACCAGACCCCGGTTCCTTTTACCCACGGGGAGGAGTGAGACTCCCAGGACTGGCTAGAAATATGCATTTGTTATATGTTGGCTGTGGTTTTTCCTAAACCTGCCTGTCCAGAAACTGGTCAGGCCCAGGCAGGTACAAACCGTAGGAAGGGTTCTCTGTGTGCTGTTCTCTGACCACAGAGTGTGACTGCAGTGCTGCTCTGAGGCAGCCCTGCCGAACCCCCAGGCCAGAGGGTCAGGCCCTATGTGACTAGTCTCCCCCCCCCCCCCACCTCCCCCACGTGAAGACTGTGGCTTGGAGGTAGGCACAAACCTATCACTGAATGGTTTGTCAAGTCATGTCAGTTTCGCATTTTGTTTCATAATATGGTCTTTGAAACTTTTACTTTATTTATTTTTTTTAATATATTTTTTATTGATTAAGATATTACATATGTGTCCTTGTCCCCACGTTACCCTCTACCCCCCACCCCCCCCACCCCCGCTCATGCCCTCACCCCCCCATTGTCCATGTCCATTGGTTAGGCCTATATGCTTGCATATAAGTCCTTTGGTTGATCTTTCCCCCTTACCCCCACCCTCCCCTACCTTCCCTCCAAGTCCCGACAGTCCAATCAATGCCTCTCCGTCTCTGGATCAGTCCTTGTTCATCAGCTTATGTTGTTCATTATATTCCACAAATGAGTGAGATCCTGTGGTATTTATCCGCTCTCAAGTTCCATCCATGCTGTGGCAAATGGTAAGAGTTCCTTTTTCTTCTTCCTCTTCTTAAAGAATACCTTTCAGCATTTCATATAATGCTGGTTTGGTGGTGATGAACTCCTTTAGCTTTTTCTTATCCGTGAAGCTCTTTATCTGACCTTCTATTCTGAATGATAGCTTTGCTGGATAAAGTAATCTTGGTTGCAGGTTCTTGCTATTCATCACTTTGAATATTTCTTGCCAGTCTCTTCTGGCCTGCATGGTTTCTGTTGAGAAATCAGCTGACAGTCGTATGGGTACTCCCTTGTAGGTAACTGACTGTCTTTCTCTTGCTGCTTTTAAGATTCTCTCTTTATCTTTTGCTCTTGGCATTTTAATTATGATGTGTCTTGGTGTGGTCCTCCTTGGATTCCTTTTGTTTGGGGTTCTCTGCGCTTCCTGGACTTGTAAGTCCATTTCTTTCACCAGGTAGGGGAAGTTTTCTGTCATTATTTCTTCAAAAAGGTTTTCAATATCTTGTCCTCTCTCTCCTTC